CATGCAAAGCCCCGAAAAAACCGTGAGTGGAATATTTTATTTCGCAACACTAATATAACAAATTTTGAAAAAAAAAGAGTGCTTTACTGTATGAGCGATAATTAATATATGTAAAATAAAAAAAATAAATAAAAAAAGAAGGAAAAAATAGACAATTCGCGAAAACATATTCCAATTAAATATTATAATTATTATTTGCGCGATATTATGAATCTATGCACTCATTTACTTTGCTACTATTATTTTAATATATGCAACACTTTAAGCGGAAGATTATAACCATATTAATGGCTGCAGTCATATAACCATCTTCGTGCAACTCTCAGTTGCAATAGGTGATTCACAAACAGGAACATATTTCCACAGTGCAAGTGGAAGAAAAGTGGGCAATTTTTATACGCAACACTACTTTAAACAACGCGATTTTACATTTATCATAAAACTATTTCTTAAATTTGAATTTAAAATAAAATTTATTATTATTCTATAAATAAATAAAAAATGATTTCCAAGATTTCAATATTATAAATTACAACTTTATATGATAAATATAAAAATAAAAAAATAGACTACTTCCGAATCAAATTAATTAAAAGCAATCGCGATATTTCTTATAACGCAACACTAAAGCAAATCCGATTATCATTTTATCGCAACGCTAATTCAAAACGCGAGATTTGTAAACGCAACACTAATCCAAAATCGCGAATTGCCCACGATAACTGGATCAACGATGGGCCAGCATGCAAATGGCCAGACAACACAACAACAATTACTACTGAAACTACTGAGCACAGTGATATAATAGTAACAATGACTTCCCATTCTTTGGACCCAAAAACAGATCCAAAAAATGAGAAGCCATCCGTTGCAGCCCTCTTCGCGACAGTTTGTCGGGGCCTCTTCGGTCTTCCTCCTGCGGGCGCAAGGCCCGCTGAAACTTAAAACTAGGCTCGAGATTTCCTAATCGCGCATAAAATTAAAAAAATAAAAAAAAGGACTACATCGCGAAAGCTGCGTGCACATGGACGACTAACAATCGCAGCGATCATTGTCCGTACATGTGCAGAATCTCGAGCTCGACGTTCGTTTCGAAATTTAATTCACGACCGCGACCGCGGAATTCGAAAAATCGAAAGCAAAATCAGAAACGAGTGACCATTGATGACCACTCGTCTCAGCTTCACACTCGATCTTTCAAATTTGATTTCCTGAAACAGGTTGTAACGCGAAAACGCACCTAACCGACCAGAGACTGTGACAACCTGCCCGGCCCTACTTACGTAGAATTATAACAGGCACACCAGAAGTATACTACCTATCCTACCTAGCCCTATATTTAAAAAATTGCAAAACAGGCATACCAACACATTCAGTCCACGATTCTCACGCATAATACTCGGGTGCAAAAACCTACACTAGGAAAAACGTCCCGGGACGCTTCCGACACCCGAGCTTGGCACGCTACTTTCACACTCTAACTTTACGTACCCTTTTCCTGAAATCGACTGACGATGGCTAATGACCATTGCGTAAATAAATATACGTCGATTTTATATAATATGCTAATATAATGATTAAGAAAATGTCATTTCAGGAGAAATAATTTTGCTAAAAAACAAATGGTATATAAATTCGTATAATAAAACTGTAGAATAAAAATTATAAAATTACTATTCATTATTATTTCGCATCGTGTAAAAGCGAATATAAA